ATTTATGGCAAAATTGCCTTCCAGAGGGTTTTACCAATTGATCCTCCCACTGGCCGGGTCTAGAGTTTTCATTTCATACTGTTTTCAAAACACACATTGGGCAACCGAACTACCAACATGAGGGGAGCAATTACCTGCCTGAATCCGGCTGACACTGCAAAAAGGAAATAGAGTTCTTGCTGCTGCCCTTGGAAGAATCCATTCACAATCACAAGCCTAAAAGGAATCAGCTTTATTGCAACTGTTGAGCTTCCCCGGGGAGAACAGCGACCATGCTGGTGCCTCTCCCAGCCCACAGTCATGGAAAAACGGAACAGACGTTCACCCCTACCTGCACTGATATAGATTATATTAGCAGCACAAATAAAAATGTATTTTACTATTCTCACCAGCCCTGCCCATGGGAACTTGACTACTTTTAGAAGGATAAATAGAATTGCAAGTTCCTGGAATAGCCTAAAGTACAAGTTTATGTGTTCTCCAAAATTAAAACCCTCTATATGTGTTGTTTGACAAAATCACTCATCACATCCAATGCCATTTTCGATTCCTGTCTGTGCTCTCACTCTGAAGGTGTGATAAAATGTGCTAAGCACTAAGATTTGCAGGCATGCTCCAAAGAGAACAGTTTCCCATCCAGCTGCTCTGAAATGTCACATTCCACTTCAAGACACTACTTCACCTCTCCGCAAAATCCTACACATGATATTTCAACTGAAATAAACAGTGGGGTTAGATGAATCCCATTCTGGAAGAGAATCTGCGGCTGCTTGTGCACTCAAAATGAGAACAAATGATAGTACAGAACCTCTCTAATTGGCAATTTTCGATTTAAAACATCCTGCCAATTTCCGGGTGGTACGGACCCCTCTATCTGTCAACAGACACTGGCATACTCCAAGAAGAGGGACATACGTCAGTGAGGCAGTGGGCACCTAGGTGATAGGGGGAAATAATGCCATTCAACGTGATCTATGAAAAGATGATAATAAAGACACACCCTCCAAGAACTGAATGCCTGGCCACTCAGTGACCAAAGGACTAAACCAGGTGTGATTTTCAGGCAGCAGATGCCTTTTCTTTGTATTCTTTCCTGACAACAGAGCCTTTCTAGTTCAAATATTCTGCAGTTTTGTGTGTGACGTCAGAGATTTCTTAATCCAATTTCGAGACTCTGCTTCTGAAAGTGAGGTTGACAGGACCTGATTTCCATCCTCCTGCTGTCAACCCCAAAGTCACCCCATTTCACAAGTATGTTTGTCTGCAAATGCCCTGCACGGTTTTCCTTTTGATACCTGCCCACGATTTTGATTGCATTAAAAAGAAGCTTAAATTACTCAAGCACTTGTGGTTTTGACAAAACAAATGGAAGAGAAGGCATCACAAGGGCAGCCAGAGACAGGGACCGTGGAGGAACAGGAGACAGCCACTAATACATGAAAAGGTAAAGAATGAGGAACAGTGTGTATGAGTATCCTCCAGCTGCCATAACAAATCATCACGAGCTGGGTGGCTTACAAACACAGAAATCCTTTTCTCACACTTCTGGAGCTAGAAGTCCAAAAAGAAGATGTCAACAGGGTCGGTTCCTTCTGCCAGCTTTGAGGGAGAATCTGTCCCATGCTTCTTCCTGGTTTCTGGTGATGGACAGCAATCCTTGACATTCCCTAGCAGCCAGCTACATCATTCCAATTTCTGCCTCCATCTTCCCACATAGTCATCTCCCTGTGGTCTGTCCTTTGTGGCCTTCTTACAGGGATATATTGGACCCAATGCATACCCCAATCCAGTATGACATCATCTGAACTAGTTATATCTGCAATGATCCTTTTCCAAATAAGGAAAAAGTCTGAGGGTCTGCGTGAACATGAATTTTAGGGGGATACTTTGTCAACCCAACACAAAACGATATGGCCACATTTTCACTTTCTAGGAGATCTTGAAATCAACACGTGCACACTGATCCTGCAGGCTACTCACTCCATCTCTTGCAGATATGCCTGGTATATCCAGGGTTCCTAGTCAGTGTCTGCTGAAGAATGAAAGAACAAGGGTCTGAGGCAGGACCCAAGCCTTTCCTTGCAGAGCGGATCTGCTGAATGGCAGCATCTCTGTTACAAAAATCCCCATCCGCCATCTCCAGAGCCTTTACTAAGAAGGTGAAATGGCACAAATGCTTGCAAAGCCTCTGAGTGAGGAAATCTGATGCTTACGACGCCTTCCCAGTCCTTCCGGTGTCTCATCCACATCTCACTCCACAGCAATTACTTTTAATGTGCTCACCCTGCTTTGTGACTCTACCAAGGACCCAATCTAGTTTTAGAACAATCACCATCTCTGCTTCCACATCCATCTCTCATGAGCTTATATGTAAGTCAAGATGGCTAGCTCCGTGCATCAAGTGGACTTGGGTAAGGGGTCTCCAGACAGCTGGGAGACATTGTTTCTGAGGTGTGTGTGAGGGTGTTTCTGGAAGAGATGAGCATTTGGGCAACGTCTAGTCTACCGAGGGCCTGGACAGAACAAAAAGGCAGAGGAAGGGTGAATTTTCTCTTCCTCCCCTCCTCTTTCTCTGAGTTGGAACATGCGTCTTCTCCTGCCTTCAGACGTGAGGACACCAGGCTGAGGCTCTGAGACACACCAGTCTAGGTCTCTGGCTGGTTCCCTTGGCCTGAGACACACCGTCAGCTCCTCAGCACCTCTGGGTCTCCAGCGTGCTGACAGCAGATTGGGGGACTTCTTGACGATGGGGGGGGGTACCCACATCTGCTGGTTACGAACATGCCATACTCCAGCTGATGACCCTGATGAGCAGGCAAGGGTGGCCCTGACCAGTGCGAGCCCGGCTGAGAGGCATCCTGCTGTCCCAGGTCCAAAATGCATGACTCCAAGGTAGGTGGAGAGGGTGGCAACCATGGACGCTTTGCAAGGAATCGATCTCTGAGCTGGGTTTTAAGAAACGAAGAAAGAGGTTTCCAGGCTGACGAAGACAGCGAAGGGCTTTCTGATGAGGGGAACTCGAGGCACAGAAGTAACCCAGCGTGTGTGGACCATGAGCTTTTTTCCACATCACGCGTGGGAGCGGGAGGCGGCAGGAAAGCAAGTGGAGATATTCAGGTCCGGATCCCAWCTGCTTTGCAGTGGGGAACCTCACTCTGGCAGGTACAGAAAACAGAGACTGGGGAAGGGGCAAGGGGAGGGAAGGACAGCTGCTAGAAGGTGCTGCCGACTCGCACTGGTCCAGGGGGTGGCTATGGGCACGAGCAGCAGCAGATGGAGTCCAGTGACAACCAGGCTGCTGAACTGATCAYGCCTGATGACAGAAGCCGCTGTCCAGGAAGGGCCTCGGTGGGCACCTGCCTCACCCTTCTGTTCTCTTGCAGAGCCAGCCGCTCCATGTGCCGGGAACACCTGTTCTCCTACCAGGAACTCAGTGTCCTTGGCACCTGGCATTGTACCCAGCACACTGGAGACTCAAAAATTGTCGCAGAAATGAATGAATGAACATTGACTGCATGAAAAAGAGAGGCTGATATTCACACGAAACAGGTACTAATGTAGTCTGAGCCAAAGCCAAAGCTTTTTGTTCATCATCCTAACCAATATGGCTGTTGGATGATTAGAAGGAGTCTCCTGGAAACATTGAAAAATACGCCAACAAATTCTGTAGTATTTAGCTAATTCCCTTATTGAATAGATATTAAGTAGCAAGAATTCCTTTTAGTACAGTGGGCTCTGGGGTGAAAGCCGAGCATGGGGGTCATTGATTAAACACTGTGCGGAGATAGGGTTATTTTTAATAGTATCACTTTCTGGCTATTTTATTATCTTTGTTGCTCCCATACTGTGTTTTATAGCAATGCATATCACTCAAGAATAAAATGATTTTTGTGAACTTATTTCAGAAAAATTGGGAAGTGTGCTCTTACCATGTGGGGTAGAGACCCCCAGATGGAAGAGAAACAGGGAAAATCCCAGCGGCCTGAGGAAGAAAAGAAGCCCAAGCCACAGGGTGAAGATTTGAAYGTAACAGTCTCTGTGTCCAAAAGCAACACTCTTTGGCCCTCCTGAACTTAACTTGGGGGGACAGGTGAGTTGCACAATGGCAAAGTTCACACCCGTGAACTGAGTGCAGCCCCTTATTCCAGCCTGCTCACCAACGACTCAACAAATGAGATGCAGTCCAACCACCCGAGTTCTCCCCGACCTCAGGCCACCTGAAGGAACAGAACCAAGTCCCTAGGGAAGTAGGTGGATGACATGCATGTCACCAGGGGTAACTCTGCTTACTGCTCATCCTGCAGGATTCATAGAAAGCTGTTCCTCYGCTAACCTCAACAGAACACTGACCATCTGCGGTCCTCACCAGGCGACCAGCTGGGACAGGGGGGCTCCACCAGGCCAAGGCTGGGGGCCTCACGCTGTCCCGTGCATTAACCTTTTGGCAGCTGGAGGTCTAGGGGCGTCTCAGGGAGGAGAAAAAGCAGCCAGGGGACACTCACAAGGTTCAGGATAACAGCTATTTCAATTCACCAGGAAGAATTTCTAGGTCATTAACCAGAAGGGTGAGCACCAACCTCAGAATAGGGATAGGCAAACTGTGTCTGTAGAGTTGAATGGTGAATGTTCTGGGCTTTGCCAGCTACAGGGTTCCACTACAATGACTCAGCTCAGCCACTGTAGTGACAGAGCAGTCAGACAACCGTGAGCAAGGTCTGGCCACCCTCCAATAGGACTGCTTAAAAAAAAAAAAAAAAAAAAAAAGACAGTGGGACAGAACACTTAGGGTGTAGGTTGTGACCCTGACCTTACAGCTGAGCACAGTTTATAATCCCACAGAACAACCCAATCTTCAACCCCCACCCTGTTCACACAGCATCTTACCAACTGACTTAACTCACCTGATAATTCTTATGCACACTTGATACATACAGACCCTCCAAGATTGATTGAGTCAAAAGTCAGTAGTCAGTCCCTAGTCCCCAAGCTAAGATACTCACCCCGAAAAATCTGTMGTGAGCACTCCATAGTGAAAGATGTATATTCGGCTGATGTGACATATTGTAAGGTATCCCATCGCCACAAAAAAAGTGTATCTAAGAGCAAAAACACAGAAGAGCAGTTTATTATGCAGACCAACAGTGCACTCAGGAAATGTTCTCTTCCTCCTCTCCCTCACCCTCTACAGGAAAACGGTCAGTCACACCTGGTCCAGCGACATTCCAGGCCATCCTGGGTCCTCACCTCTCCACCCTCGGCTCGGACCACGGTGGTCGCTGTCAGTCCCGACGGCATAATGGAATCAGCGAGGGAGCTTAGCAAACTGGGGATGCCTGGGCCCTCCCCCAGTTGTCCTGGTTGAGTGGTACCAGGTGCACATGGCATTCCAACAATCAGCCAGGACTGGGTACTGCTGACCCATAAGGTCTTGTACTGGGACCCTCTTGTTGACCAACCATCTTGTTCACATGATAATCTTTACAAAACACAAACCACCACCTACCCCTGACCACGCCCTTCCTTAAGGCTTGGTTCTCTTGGTGTGCCTGCTTCTGTTTTCCTGCCACCGCTCTGGCTAATTCTGCACAGGACCCTCCCTACCCACACCTCAGGCTTCAATGGCCACTCTGTCCTTGGCCCTCCCCAGCTTCCTTCAGAGACACCATCTGCTCCTCTATGAGTGTAAACCAGCAACCCACACATAGGCAGACCACACACAGACACACACGTGCATACATACACACCTTGTCATTCACAACATTTATCAATTTGTAATAATAAACTTGCCTGATAATGTGTGCAATGGGCTGAATGTGTGTGTCCTCCCCAAATTCCCGTGTTGAAATCCTCTGATGTGTTGGTAGTAAGAAGTGGGCCTTTGGAAGGTCCTAGTGAATGGGACTAATGCCCTTATAGACGGGATCCCAGAGAGCTCTCCGACTCTCTCTCCACTGTGAGATGCAATGAGGATACAGAGAGAATTCAGCAGAGCAGGGCCCTCGCTGGACCTGACCATGCTGCCTAACATCTGGCTTCCAGCCTCCAGAGACAGGAGAAAGAAATRTGTGTTTATAAGTCACCCAGCTATGGCACTTGGCCACAGCAGCCTGAGCAGACCATGACGCTCTGAGGAACTACTGAGCCCTTAACTGTGAGTAAGCTACTCGAAGGCAAAGATGGTCGTGTGTGTTGGTAAGTGAACAACTACACGAATACTACTCGTTGTGAAAGTCTCCAGTGGATGCCACTCCCCAGGCAGGTGAGAACTTCCAGACAGCACACGAGTGCTTCACACTCTGCTCTCCAGCTCAGCATTCTCAGCTCACCTGCAACCGGCCTCACGGTCACCTGAGCTCAGGTGCCCTGGCCTGCTCCTGTTCCCCGGCTGCACYCTGTACTCTCAGGTCAGATGTCTTTCTTCATGCTCATTCCTCGGCCTGCAGTTCCCCGGTCCATCCATCCCACAGTCCATCCGGAACTCTACTGATCAGATAAGGCTCAGCTCCAATGCCACCTCTTCCCTGTCACTTGGCATGGTCTTGTTCCACCCACCTCACCCCATGTCCTGCTCCTCAACACAACATGTGGTTCCACTGTCTGCACTTTTCTAGTGCTACCTGCTAACCTACATAATTATARTGCTGAAAGTTATTTACATAGATGTCTGCTTCCCTACGCACTTGACCTTGGGCCTCCCAACCTTGGCTTGACACATAGGAGATTCAGTTACTATTAGTATAAATAAACCGAACCGGACACACTAAATGCTTCTGAATGGTTCAGAGACCATCAGATACAGACATACACTCAGATGGTCCAACTTTTCCCATAAAACAGGGAAGATGAATATTCTGATATTAAATTATATTGAAATTCACACATTCACATTAAAATAACTCATGAAGATGAGATCAACCTRGGAAATAGTAAAGGGTAATAAAATATTATTCAGCAGCAAAAAAGCCARTCAGGAGTGTGAAGGAGCTCTGTAAACTAAATCACTGCATAAGCTCTTTTTACCATTATTTACAAAGACGTTACAGGTTGACCATCTCAAATATGGAAACCTGAAGTGCTCTGAAATCCCCAACACTCCAAATCTAAAACTTTTTGAACATCATGTYACTGCTTAAAAAGTTTCAAATTTTGAAGCTGGGTGCAGTGGCTCATGCCTATATTTCTAGCAACTCTGGAGGCTGAGGCAGAAGAATCCCAAGTTCAAGGCCAGCCTCAGCAGCTCAGCAACTTGGCCCTGAACAACTTAGCAAAGCCCTGCCTCAAAATAAGAAATATAAAAGGCCTGGGGATGTGGGGAGGTGGCTCAGTAATTAAGCACCCCTAGATTCAATCCCTGGTGCAAAAAAAAAAAAAAAAGCTTAAAATTTTAAATCGTTTCTGATTTCAGATGTTTTTGATTTGAGGTGCTCAACCATTAAAGTCTATGAAAATATTCAAAATTTGAAAAAAAACTCCAAAATTGGAAACACTTTTGTMCTAAGCTTTTGGGGTAAGGAATACTCAACGGGTACTATACAAGGAGATTTTTTCCTGCCACGGATTCATCCCAAACCCTATAAGACAGTCAGTAAAGCAAATAGCTAAGGAAACTCTCCCCTCAAGAACAGCAGGAGGAACAGAATGGACTAGGCCTCCTGCCCTCCAGCACCCATCCCCCTTCTCAGCCAGTTCATGAGCCCAAGGCAGAAGCCCAAGGCCGATTCCAAAGGCAGATTCTTCCAGGCCCAGTTCAAATGCAGCCACCACGCCAGTCACTAACAGAAGTTAGCCCCAGGCTTGAACCTGGCTTGGAGGGAAAACATGTTCAGGTCAACCATCCCAATAGGCCCTGGGTTGTCAAGGACCAGCKGACTCCTAATACAACAGGGTGAAGCATTCAAGCCTCAGCCTGACCTGAAAAATCTAAGGAATCCAGGAGTGGCACGGAAAACACGTCTTCTGGACACAGACTGATCCAAGTTCAAATCCCAGCCCTGGCAAGGTCATCTGTGGTGTGAGAAGTTGGCAGAGTGATTATTTTAGGAAAGAGGCGTGTGGCAGAGACTGGCCCATGAGCGATGATCCTGTTCTCTTCTTGACCTGCCTGGAGGCTACAGGTGTTTGCTCACTTCGTGAAAATCCGTCAAACTCCACTTATCTGCCTCTCCGAGCTTTCAGTTCCACATCTCAGAAAAATAAAGAAGAAAGCATGTATATACATAAAGATCCCAAAGAGTTGTCTTAGAAGGAATATATTTGAAAYGAAGAGATGCAATGTTAAATACTATGTTGACGAATAGTTTGTGTCCTTAAAATAGTGAAATGTCATATGTTTTCAAAGGAGCTTGTCCTGGGATGTGGCACAGAGTAGGGACTGAGAGTAGCACTGTTGTGGCACGGTGCCTCTGTCCCGGGTATACAAACCATATTCTGCTCCACTTGGCCCACACCTGGTAAACTGATCCCTATGCCTCCTGCCCCACACGGTGGCTGGGGAAGGAGACAGACCTGGCTCCTTTAAGAACTCTCTAAACAAAATCCTGGGTAGCATCAATGCAGAAAAGGGTCAGTTCTCAATGGCAGCAAATGCCAGTTCTCTCCTCTTCCCAGCCACTGGACAGAGCTCTGTGACTCAGGGAAGAKAAAGGAGAAGACACCAAGAATCACTCCATCAGGGTCCTGCAGAGAACTGGTGTTCAGAGTCCCCAGACTCCACATCTCACAGGTGGGAGATCCCACGGGCAGAGATGCTGTTGACCTGACTTCCTAACGCGCTCCAGGGCCCTTCCCTGTATCGATAGGAAACAACCTCAGAATTTTTTTTTATTTTTTAATGGACACCAAGTCCACCCACTGAACTGGGAACCACCTTCCCACACTGGCAAGCACCCAAGCAGAGGGAAAGGGCAGGGCTTCCTGGGGCGTCTTTCCTTGTTACTCTGAAGGCAGAGCCTTCACCCACTGCAAAAGGACTGGGGAGAGAGTCACCCCTGGCCGCAAACCACTCCTCCGTCAAGTCAGCCCCTGAAGGGAATCCTGGAAACCTGGGACGAGTGTGCCTGCGAGTCCTCGACCCTCTGAAACAGGGCCCGTAYCCCGCCAGCCTTACGTAAGTATCGGGAAAGCTGTTAACTCCAGTGGGGAGGGAGTTGGAAACACGCAATAGAAATCAGCATCACTATTAATCATATGATTGCCCTCGGAATTCTGTTTAGAAAAAACAAGAAATCTCACACACACCCCACCATCCTTTAAAAAAAAAATTATGAGCATTTCATCCTAGGAAGTATTTCCAACACCAACTCCTTCCAAACTAGAAAACAAATTTCCTATTTCCCTTTTGGAAGGAATGACACTGTCCTCTCAAGGAGGCCGTTGAAAAGAGAGATGACAATTCCAATGTCAGAGCTCCCTCGGGCACTCAGCAGAACGAAGGTAAAGCTGAAAAGCAGGCAACAACATCTTCCTCTGAAAACCAGAACTCTACCACRAGTAGCTATAAAATCAAATACTACAAGGATAGATTTCAATGCTTTTAAAAAGAAAAAAGATAGTGCKGAGAGTCTTGTTAATCAGGGAGCTCACCGAAGCTGAGGAAAGACACGTACTTTTTAGAGACGCCATCAGAAAAGAAGCCACAAAAGGGTCAGTAACTTTTAAAAGCGCTGCAGTCCCTCGTCCCACAGTTCTTATCGAGCCCTTGTTGTGCCAGGTGCTCTTCTAGGTTTTGAGGATACAGCGGTGAATGAGAGAGAAGCCTTGGTTTTCACAGAACTTACACCCCAGTGTCCCCCAAAAGGCAGTCAGCACTGAGTTTCCAGGAAGACCATGGGAAAGAGACCTTGCAAAACATAGCCCCACTCACTGACTGTCCAAGCACAGAGCCTTCAAGTAGAATAAATTACTTCTGTACTTTGAAATAAAAAAATATACCATAGCAAAACCTTTTTTTTTTTTAAGTATACAGCTTCACGAGTTTTGGGTGTGCACCCAGAAAACCATCACCAAATCAAAGATGGCGGAGACCTGCATCCCCCATGCCTTTCTGACCCCTTCTTGGTCTCCCTGCATCACGCCTCCCTAGCAACAACCTCTGATCTTCTGTTACTAGAGATTAGTCTGCATTTTCTGGAATTGATCTGTGTGGCTTCCTTCATTCAGCCTACTTAACTCCAGATGCGTCCATGTTGTTGCGTCCATTCAGAGCTCACTCCTCTTCATTGCTGGGTAGTATTGCACCAAGACACCTAACTTACTTCCAGTTTGGGACTGTCACAAACTGAGCTGCCTAATCCTGATGAACTCTTTCATGCAAGGCCCAAGGTACATCCCACCTTCTTCACAGAGCCTTCTCTGAAGACCCCCATCCCTCCCTCAGACATCCTGGAGGAGCTAAGACACACCACCGTGGGAAACCGGGAACTTACAACTTTGTACATTTCAAAGATCAACGAGAAACCTATCTTGGGTTGCTCAACCCCAGGGTCTTACCTGTGTATACTGGATACACTTGCGGTGACCAGGATTCCATAACACATTAACACCAGCACAAAAAGATGTACGGAGTACCTTTAAGACATGAGGGAGGGAGACACTGAATATATTTCATATTAACACACCCTCTGGCTACTCAGCCTCCCCTCCCCCTGCCAAAAGGCAATGATCAGTGTGTAAGAGAAAATATATCAAAAAAAAAAAAAAGAGAGAAAATATATCAAGGACACTTTTCTGAGTAATTGAAGATACTACATCTTGAAATGACACGGGTCATGGCACAATTTGCCAGTTACAGCCCGTAATGTCACAAATCCATAAATGGACTGCTTATATTTCTTCACATCCATATATGATGCAGAGTCCAGAGAGATGAGGTTTTTTCCTTCAGGACATTATTCATTTATTTTAAAGTACTAGGATCCAAACCAGGTTTTCCAGACACCGAGACTTTCGCCTGGTGGCTGATTCAGATTATCAGTCCTGTTCCAAATGTTCGTTGAAGGATTTGGAGTGGTCCTTCAGACCTTGAACAGATTTCCTTAAGATACACTTCTAGAAATCTGAAATTCCTAAAATGTCAAAGAAGTGCCCCTCCCTGGCACTGCCAGGCATACCCAGTGAAGTCCAATCTGCCGGTTCTAACAGGTCTTGCTCTGTCAGAGGATGACTCCACCTCCCCAGGCCTGTCTGAAGCCGCTGTTCTAACCCCGGAGCAGGACTAACACCAGGGGCTCCAGAGTGGTGTCAGAAACCCACCAGGGTCTGCGAAGGCTGGGAAAGGCCCGCAGCAGGGGAAAAAGTGAACTTTCCAGCTTCCACGGACATGGCCCAAGGGGGCTGCGGAAGCCTGATTTTAAGGAAAAAAAGTCACTGTTCTGACTTCCAGTGGGTGGTCAGCTTATTGGTTCTAGTTCTTTGTCTTTAATATAGTAAATGGGGATTCCTGCAGCATCCCCATTATTTTACAGTAAAGTATTTGCAATGCTTTACAATGATGCAAACCTTTTTTCAACTCTCATGTCACAGCACACTCTTTTACAACCCTGTCCTTTTCTTCCCTTGGTGTGCCACCAAGAACATCCCCTCAAAACACCCAAATGACAACCATTAGCCTTTCTGAGGCGCAYACTCACCAGCCAAAGCAAAAGATGACGAAGTAAGTGCCCAAAATGGTGGCGAAGGCATGCCGGACGGCGGGGCTGCTCTTAGCAGGATGCAGGTAGAGGCGGAACCAGAGAGCGGCGAGCAGGGCGAAGAGCTGGCAGGCCACGAAGTTCACCTGGGGAGAAGGGGGCCGTCACGGTCTCGCCCACTCGGATCCGCCCGGGCTGTCTCTCAGGGGCTGCATCAAGATGCACCCCAGACTGGGCTTTGGGTTTCCCTCAGTCGAGGTTTGGAGGAGGAACGAGAGACAAAAAGGTAACTGCCTTCGTGGGGACACCCCCAGCTTCTCCTCCAGGCCCACAGGTGACCAGGCTGCTTCCCCCAAGGGCACAGGGTCCTAGTGCACAAGGCACCCATGAGGTCTCCTCCCAGCCCCAGCAGGACCAGGAGGGGAGGGTGCTCTTCAGAGATGCCAAGCTGGGCGAGTGTTCCCCTGTTTGGTACCCAAGAAATCAGTGTTCTCCGAAGTGGTCATCAGGTGTTTTATGACTTTAATCTTCTCATTTTTAATTAGTAAGAGCATTCCTTAAGGTCAAGATCAGACACTAAATCCCCCCCCAAAAGAGACACAGACCTGCGTGAAACCTCCACAGTGCGCGTAGCCAATTTTGCAAGGTAGCTACAAATGTCCTTGGAAAGGTCACAGTGGTTTCTCTCTCAAGAACATTTTCACATAGGGGCTGGGTGGAGCTCAGTGGTCGCGGRAGCACCCAGCAGAGGCAAGGCCCTGGGTTCCACCCCCCTGGAACTAACCCATACACATGCACACTTTACTAAGGGGAAATATAAAACGATTCACTGAAATACAGGAGAGATTTTTTTTTTTTAAAGAACAAGCAAACGTGCATCTTCCTAGCATAAATTAATACAAATCAAACAGTGAGTGACTTAACCATTAATGAAAACTAGAAAAGTCATTGAAATTCTCCAATGTAGGCAGGATGAAAACTTCACTACTCATTCATTTTTAGAAGGCAATTAATCAAAGAATATTGAAAATATGAATAAATGCCCCAATTTTCCATCAGGGGATTTTCATGCTCTAATAAACTGCAGCCGTTAATAAGTCATTAGGGTTGCACAAGGAGGTAAGGCTGGAGGAACACTTGAGCCCACTCTGTTTTTCTAAGAAAAAGCAACAATACTTTGGACCCTTAGAAAATATTGCCTTCAAAGAATTTTTATTTCATTATTAAAAGTGAACTATTTTCCTCCCTAGTTGGAGATTAGACCCCACCATTGTCCCCAAAAACCTGTGCTCACTGCAGCTCACCTTCACTTTTCACCTTAAAAGACACAGAGAGTGACGTAGGAGTCTGTCATGCAACATGTGGCCACCTCTTTTGTGTAGGCTAAATTAACACCACACACACACACACACACACACACACACACACACACACTCACTCACAGGGAGAGAGAAATGATCAACTTTGCAAGGTACAAAATGAGAAAGAATCAGCAACTGGAAAGTCAAAAGGTCAGGATGCTCTGAGATGACCAATCACATTCTCTCATTCTCTTGGCCCAGGGACCTGCACTTCCATGAACGTATTTACTCAAGAGACCAACTGTGGAGAAATCTGCTCCGTCGCTTTGGTTTGGCCAATAACTACTGAGCATCCGCACACAAGGAATGCCACAGGGAACAGACCAGTGGTTCTCAAGAGTGTGGTCACCAGGCCARCAGCCCTGACCTCATCTGGAAACCTGCTGGCAATGCACACTCTCTGCCTCCCCAGGCCCACGGAGGGAGACATTTCCTGGTGGAACCTAGGAGCGGATGTTCTAACAGATCTCCAGCATCCTCGAGTTTAGGAACCACCGGGATAGAAGAGAAAGAAAGCCTGTTCCCTGCCCTCAAGGAGCTCATGTGAAAAGAAGACAACCTAAAAATAATCGCATGGTACCGTCGGAACTGAGAAAGATTTTTTGCTTGACCAAACTTTCATCAAGCTCCTGAATCTTCTCCAAGCTCCATCTGTGCACTTCCTTATAAGAGCAGTTTCAGTATGGAGCCTGCTAAGAACCCCTGCATCCTCCAATCAGACATGGTTCCCCAGCTGTTGAGCCATCCCACTAATGCCCAAGGAGAAGCTGCAGCAGCGCAGGCTGGCTGGAGTGCGGGTGCAAGCAGGGGCCATGGCCCCCTGGAGTCCACCATGCCAGTGCAGGCCTGAGGCACAGAGAGCCAGGGCCGAGGCAAGAGAAGATGCACCAACCTGTCACAAAGCGGCAGCCAGGCAGGGCCCATGTGGGCCAGGCAGATGTACCACAGCCTGGAACCCTGAGCATCCTCGATCCCACAACCTCAGCCTCCTACTTCCTCCAGGTGCCCAGGTGGGCTGGAGCTCAAGCAGCAAGCACAGGCCACAGCCAGTGGGGATGCCTGTTCCCCTAGTGCCACTGCAGAAGTCCAAACCCAGAGCATCCATGATCCATGACCTCAACCTCCCACTTCCTGCTGAGCAGCAAGAAAGCAGATGTGGGGCAGGCCTGAATGGAAGTACAGACTCGAGGGCTAGCCAAAGGCATTAGTACTTTTCCAAACCCCGATTATCCTAAACTTGGAACAACAGCATTGACCCGAGGGCTCTATGAACCCCTGACTACYACACTGGAGTGGTAGCCCTTATGGGGGCCCCCTCCTGCCCCTTAAGAGTTCTGTTTCTGGGCTGGGGATGTGGCTCAAGCCGTAGCGCGCTCCCCTGGCATGCGTGCGGCCCGGGTTCGATCCTCAGCACCACATACAAACAAAAGATGTTGTGTCCGCCGAGAACTAGAAAATAAATATTAAAAATTCTCTCTCTCTCTCTCTCTCTCTCTCTCTCTCTCCTCTCTCACTCTCTCTTTAAAAAAAAAAAAAAAAAGAGTTCTGTTTCTGTTTGTCACACTTGAATAAACCCTACTCCTTCCACTCTTGCCTTCCCGTGTTCCCTGAATTTCAGTCTCCAGATTTGTGAGACCTGAAAGAACGGGGAAGGGAGTCGCCATGAGCTGCTGAGTTCTGTGGCAACACTGGCGGGCACAGCCGCTGACCAGAGCTGGGCACGCCACTCAGGGGTAGAGAGGAGACTCTCTGCCAGCTGCGACCGAGCAGGTGTCCCCTGCTGGGCCTAACTGCTGACCTAAAATGGGCTCTCTGGGCCGCAGAGGCCTGCAGCTTACCCAGGCCCCACCTGCCCACAGAAGTAGAGAATCAAGTTTGACCTCAAATTCCAGTTTCGTGGTCACCCTCAAAGTGCCAGGCACTTTCTATTAAATTATTCTAAAGCTACAAAATTTTGCCCAGAATAAATCCAGTAAGCGGTCACCTCTGCTGAGCAGGTGACATGGCTGTCCCCGCCATTCAGACTCGCCTGGTACCCAGTCTGCCTCCCACCCAGCGTCTACACAGCAGCCCGAGTTCCCAGCATCCTTCTGTTGTAGGGAGAAGCAATGCAACCCAGGACCGTCCGTCTCTGGGGTTTTGCTCCTAAGTATAATTTTATAAACCTAAAGCAAAGACAAATCTAAAAGTCAAAGCAGTTTGCAAAATGAAAATTGGGAAAGATAATTTTCTCCTTTGAATTCCAAAAGCTTATCTTCATGAATCAAAAGCAAAGGTGAAGAAAATAACAGATTTTCTAACAATTAAGAAAAGGAAGAAAAACTCTGAATGACGGAAAGGCGGGTTTTCTGCACAAAAGGAGATCGAGAGTTTGGTGAGCAGGTTCAAGGAGGGATGTCCCCAGTCTGAGGGTGGACAGAACTGGCACTTGGAGACGGACAGCAGGGGTGAGGACAGGGAGCTACGACCACTGAAACCGGTGGAATCCCTAGGGAGGCCTGGAGGCCTGGCGGGGCCACCCCAGTAGAGGAGACGGTTGCCTGGTTTCTGGAAGAAGAGAGGAGGTGGCCTCAGAGGAGCGCTGCTTCCAGGAGGTTGAGGAGGTGTCAAATGCAGACCCTGGACCCTGGGTATGAAGAGCAGAGGCCAGGTGAGACCTCGTGGACCTCAAAAGTTCTTGGGGTTGGACTGAAAACTGGGGTATCCAAACCAAATGTGCAAAAGCTCATGTTTGAAAGCACAGGCCTCAGTCCAGCAAGGTTTGGTGCGGGGCTTTTAGGCACTGATTGGATCATGAGGCTCCTACCTCATCAGTAGATTAATCCATTTAAGGATTGATAGATGAATCATCCATTGAGAGCTGAATGGACTACTGGCAYGGGGGACCTGGTTGGAGGAAGCAGGCTCTAGAGGCATGTCCTGGATGGTTTATCCTCCCCTCTCTCTGCTCCCAGGATGCATGAGCTGAGCAGCCTTCCTTCGCCACGCCCCTCCACCATGAAGTTCCGCCTTATCTCAGTCCAAAGAAATGGAGCTGGCTGACCATGCACTCAAGCCTCTGAAGCCATAAACCAAAATAAACGTTTTCTCCTCTAAGTTATTCTTGTCAGGTGTTTTGGTCGTGGCAAGAAAAAGCTGACTTACATAAGAACAGTGTGAACTGACCCCCGGGAGCCAAGGAAGGCTGCAGGCAGCCGCAGAGGCCGCAACAAGAGGGCAAGACTGAGACCACAAGGACAGCTTCACTGAGCAGAGGCCAGCAAGGAAGGCCAGGATGGTCTATGACTCCCTCAGAGCTCAGATCTTTTCCAAGTAGAGACGTGGACAGCTCCTTCAGTTAACCAAGGTTATGCTAAAGTGAATTGTCCCATTAGCAATGAAACTTGAGTGCTACACGAACTTCAGTGGGGAGAGATCTTAAAAGTTACGCTCTGGAGCATATCTGTATGAATTTTAGACCTACTATTATTAACAGAACTTGAAATGTGTACAAAAGTTCTGCACAAATATACTGACTTGAGCATTATTTGCAGTAAAAGTGGTAGTGTTGGCTATCAGCCAAAACTTTCAACTGACTCTTGGAAATTTATTCAAGAGATGAAAAGCTAAATGCCCCCAAAATGACAGGGTATCATTTACAGGACAAAACTAAGTAAAAGCAACCTAAATAGAGGACACTAGATGTAAATCCCTCCGTGGGATAGCATGCCATCAATTAAAATCGCACCCGTAATAAAATGAAAGACATTCTCCTATAAACTAATCAACAGCAGAATATCCAGCAG